GGTCAGACGCGTGGGAGACACGGCGGAGAACACAAAACATTCGCGGAGCTGGCAACTCCGCTTTCGGTAACCCCAAGTAAGAACTGCCGCGCTGCCCCTCTCACCCTCAACCTCACAGCGTCCCTCGCGCAGCCAGACACGCCCCAGAGCACCCGTGGCGCACCGCTGTGAATCTCGGTACTCATTGCAGGCCGGATTTCTAGCAGAAGCCCACCGCAGCCTTCTGCTCGGTCTGTTCCGTCTTGCGGGCCATCACGCCACCCAAGCTTGCATGGGACCGACTTCGAACCGCTGGCATGATGGTGTTATCGTTTCCAGCCAGGTGCGTTGCCTCTAAGCGCGAAGGTGGCCAGTTCGGGCTGCAGTTTGAATGCGGATCGTCAGCTTGTACGACTCAGATCCACGTAGATTTCTCCGCTCGCTGCGCCACGTGGATACGCATCGACGATCGCGCAGATCGCGCATCCACTGCGCCTCGGCCGCCCATCGTCTGCAAGCCCGAAGCCGTCGACGCCAGCGGCTGGCTGGGCAAGCCGTCGCCTCGTCTTCGGACCATGTGTGCACGGAGAACACCCGCGGTTTCCTGATGGAGCGTCTGGCCCCTGCAGCGCCTGATTGCGGCCAACGCTTCGCCCGTTCCAGGACTATTTCGAGCAGCGTTCACAGGCTGACACGGCCCCCAATCGAACATTCGCGTCCGTGATCGCTGAGATACATCCATGTTGATCCTCCATGCTTCTAGTGACCACCCGTTCCCGTCTTCAGCGCACCCGTTGCCTCATATGCAACCGAAGAAGATTACGCTCCCCGCTTGCTGTTCTCCCCATACTCGCTCACGAGCCACGTGCAGATAACGTACGCCCGCTGCATTCGCCGCAATACAGACAGCGATCGCGCACAATCCAGCTACTGTCCGAACCACATCTAGGCACACCAGCCAGCCCGCGGCCAGCCAAGGAATGAACGCGGCTGCGTTCAGGCTGTCCTCGCCGCATTCCCACCGCATGACTGACTGATCTGTCAGCACACCAAACACATCGATGTCAGATAACCAGCGACGAGATGTTTTTGCGCACGTATTGGAGCTCCCAGCCGGAAAGCTGGGAATCGTCGGACGACACTGGTGACTGCATCATGCTTGGCACACTCCCTTCGCCTTCTACATGCTCCAAGGCGGCATTCTTCGCTCGGCTCGATCGAGGGGGGCCTCGATTATTGCCTCCGATCCTCGGAGGTGAAAAGGTCGAACTAGCTGCTGCAATAGCAAGGCCACCCGTGTCCAAAAAAGTACACGGAGTGCTCGATGTGCTCTAGCCGAGGCGACGACGCGCCATGCGTTGCTGCCTTGACGCACCTCGCCCCACTGTCCTGGATCCCCAGACGAACACGGGTCTCATGGCCCTGTGCGGATACACAGTCATGGGGCTTCGGCCTGCCTGCCTCCCCTCTGCAAAATGAAAAACACACGCACCGCGTGACTCCGGAGAGTCCTGTGACAGAATTCGCCGCAGGCCTGATGTCATCGCGAGAAGAGATGTGGGAGTTTGGGGCCTGCAGAATCCTACAGTACGCGCACAGGTTGGGCTGGGCCAATGACGATTGCGGCTGCCGGCCTCCATGATCATGCCCAGGTGAGTAACCAGGCCCATGGCAGGGGGACAGCGTCAGCGAGGTGAGCTCCTAGGGTCGCTGTCCCGCTTGAAACATAATGTAGAGTACTTTTCCGGGTTGGTACATCCTCCGCCGCGCGTTCTATTCGAGAAGCCGCCGGTGAGCCAGAGCGTCTCTGTGTGTGGCGGCTGCGACCAGCGTCTTCAAACTTTCGTGAATAGATAGATGGCTGACGCGGATCTACTTGAATAATCAGGCAGCCTCAATGGCTTGTCAGGTACAACAGCATCCGAATCTTGGTTAATGTCGCGAAATTGTAGGCAATTCATCGGTGTCCGCCCCCACAACGAGATCTGCAAACGAAGATCTGCCTTCTCCGATTCCTCAAATAGGTTGGTTGAATTACATCGAATAGGAGCGCAAACATTTGAGATTGCGGGAAATCTCATACATTCCGTGTCCCACGCTCGATTACGCTGCAGGCCACGAGCGCCGAGCTAGTGTCGTCCTGGCACACCACAACACGCAGTAGCCTTCGACAGTAAAACTCACCAGGGCATGGCTGGGAAGGAAGCAGGTACGTCCTCGTTTTCGCAGCGAGGATGGCCACTAGACCTCACAATTCCAGCGCCATGAATGATTGACGCGGGCGTGGAGTCCTTGTTACTCTTTGCAGAGGTCACCAGAGTCCGCGAGGCTTGACAGGAAGGTCAGAGCGATGAATGAACTTTGTGCAGCGCGGACGAAGCGTGACTGTTATAGTTTAGATAAAGAAGCGATGGGACACTTGTGCCCTTCCATGTTCCATGGTGCAACTTGATGAGGGAAGAAAACGTTTGCGCACAGACATGCAACGAGTTCGGGCCCGCTAATTCTATGGGAATTCGACCAGAAGCCCCAGCAGGCTGCAGATAAGCTGGGGTGGAACAACTGAGTGCGACCGCCGGTAAGTTACCTGGGCAAGTCAAGGAATCTCGGACCCTGTAGAGCGTTCAGGGATGTGAAGGGAAATCTAATCAGATGATAAATAGAGGGTGCACATTAGCGCAGAGAAGGCAAGCTCTGAAATTTGGACGGTCAGCAGGCCTTGGACACCGTCAACTGCTGTAAACATCACCTAATCTCCTGTACGGCATAATCCTGCCGCAGGGATTATGGCTATTCGAAATGACCCTTCGATGGGTGGGCGGGGTGCGCAGTAGGACGCAGCGATTGGATTTGATGGGTCGGGGGATGGACGAGTGATGTCAATTAGTTCGCGGGACGCTATAGTAGTGCCCGATTTTTACTCCGCATGCAAGCGAGAGCTAGTCATTATCTTGGCAATTGAATGCATCGAGATCATGATACATACTGAAAGGAGTATTTGTGCCCTGGACAGATGCCATCGTCCGACTCGCGTCCAGCGGATGCCGCTGGGTGTATCTTGGCAAACCCTAACCTTCTGTACATGCAGCTAGGCTCTCGACAGTCTCAAGCTGCCCTGTACTGTTGAATGCCATTGACCATCGAGCTCATCAATTTCACGCCTTGCAGTACGCGGACGAGTCGCTGAAAGAAGATGAAGGATCTTATCGTGGACGCTAGTACGCTTCTCCAACAACCCCCCCCTGGACACACGTCCTGTAAAGTTCATGAATCGTTTCAGATTTCCCCCGTACTTTGGACCAACGCGTTTATCACCTAGGACTCCGTGCTGGTGAAGTCGCCAATCGAATAGTGAGTCTTTATCGCCCTTATCAGCAGTTGCATGTTCAGAGAACATGGTAGATAACTGTAGGCTCGCCGTCGCGTGCGAGCGGGATTGCAGGGTTTCTGGACCCAGCGCCCACCCCGTTCACCCTCAGCTCAGAGCGTGGGTTCACGACTATCACCGGTCGTTTTAAGAACGTCCCCGTGTCAATTGTGAGCATAGGAATGGGCAGTGCGAATGCAGACTTCTTCATGCGGGAAGTAAGAGAATGTCTCAGTGGTGATATGGTCGTGGTAAGGTTAATGACTGCCGCTCTTTATCCCGCCCATAGTTCACTTCAAGCTGACCGTCCAGCATCGCATCCGTCTGTAAGGCTTGGCTCTTGCGGGGCCTTAATAGATGTACCCGTTGGAACCGTCGTAGTCCCGAAAGCCAGCATCGCTGTGACAAGGAACTACGACTATGACTTCATGGAGGGAAGCTCAGGTGAAGTTCCGTATATAATCAGCAAACCAGTATGTCTCTTTGAATATGTGTGTCTCTGTTTGATGTCTACCTTAAATTTGGACCTTAGGTTAATGCGGATCCAGTGCTTCACGATGCGGTATGCATTTAATCTTATTCTCTGGACTTTTTCAGTGCTCACATGTGAAACAGATTCGGGATGCTCTAAAGAAGACTCGGCCCTCCATAATCGAAACTACCGTCGTTGATGACGTTCTGAACGCATCTACAGACAGGTCCGAATCTCCAAGTGTCGTTTTCCTTTATTCCCATTCTCATACATCCGCAGCTTCTATTCCTCACAAGGCAGACAGACGTCCTTCCCCGATCACAATAGCACCTTAATCGCACAGCTCACATCGTCACACACCGCCCTAGCTACATTCGAGGTACTTATTTATGTCCGACATCAATCCTGCGACGTAGCTCACCCATTCGTATCCTGTCCTTCTAGATGGAGACGTTCCACATTCTCCACTTAGCCGCTAACTGGCGGGCCTCTCCCTCTCTTCCTTCCGCCGTCTCCCCTCCTCTCAGCGCACTCCCCGTCTCTCCCGTAATCCACCCGCCTCATCCTCCCTCGACCCAGAGCCAGCTGCCCAATGTCTCCAGCTCCGCGACAAGCGGGAAGCCGCGGATCAAGGCGGCGGCGGCGCAAATGGTGTTTGCCTCGCGCACGTCGCATGATTTCATCACGCCAGAGCAGGTGTTGGAGATAGAAGCTTGGTGCGGTCAGGCAGTGCTAGAAGCGCTGACCGGGTTCGACATTGCTTCCGATGTGAGTAGTTTGGTAAACCATTGGGAATGAAGGGCACTAATGCGGTGGCGCAACTCCCAGAGATTACATGGTGAGGTTGGAAGTGTCTGGGAATTGAAATGACGCACAGTAAAGTAAATGCCCCCTGCGTACATTTGAACGTGGGCTTGTTGGAGAAAGTGTCGGCTTGTACAATCCGTCCGACTCATAAATCTTATCGTTTTTATTCCATATGCATGTGTGTCAGATATATTCACTCGAGGTTCACAGGTGCTTCCTTGATGCTTTCTGCCTTGGTTCCATGGAGGCAGCTTCAGATAAATGTAACTGAACAATCTGTGCATACCGGGGCTTGTTATTCCAACCCCATATTCTAGATACATTTGTCCTGAGGACTGTGCCTTGAACAAATCAGGGTAAGATCCGACAAAAGTACTCCCTGGCGGGGAGTCGAACCCCGCTTTCGCGCGACCGACAACTATTTGACAGGCGCGTGTACTAACCGATATACTACCAGGGATTAAAGTGTGAATCATTGCTGAGAGTGTCGAACGTTAAAACGTCGCTGTACTCGGTCCTAGGTCATGAACGAGTTTTTCATCCATGTAATTGCCTTGACGAACGCATGGCATATTGCACCGTGCATCGAAGCCACTGGTCAGACTCGGGACGACGCATTGATTCGTGCCGTTTCTGGGGGCCCCAATTGACACCAACGCAAATTTGGTACGCCAAGTGATATGATCTTGTTTTGTAAAACCTACTACGGTGTGCGTGCTCGGAGTACTGGTGTATTCCTGTACCGATGCAAGATTGCAGAGGACGTACAGATGTAAGTGTCGTGCGTTGAGATTCTTGGGAACGATCCATGCCATGTGCGGATGGGATCAAGGGTCTTTCGGGTGCATGTCACGGAAGGATGAATCAGGACGAGGCTGGAGGGTGAGGAGCTCATTTCTGACCCTCAGTGGCGTGCAAGATTCAGCCTCAGCCTCAGTTCCTGCAAGCGTTCCTGCAAGAGCGTTCGTCATCAAAGTGGCCATGGGATCGATCTCTACGTACTAATAGGGGTATAACTCCCGCACCCACACATGTCAGGTGTGTGCCGTTCGAAGCATTGTTGACGAGCTTGTCGATGTATCATGATCAACAGGGTACACGAAGCATGGCCCGCGTTCTCAGTGTGCAAGAGAAAACTTCCCTTCGGTTGCACGGTGTGGGATTCGTTGGCGGTTATCAGAGACAAGTTTGTGCACGAGGCAAGAAGAAAGAATATATTCGAGTTCATTGTGCGCATGCTGCCCCCGATGATTGGGAAGCGTCCACAATCACGTAGGCCCACAAGCGCTAAGAAAAAGAACGCAATGTTAACATAACGTGAGACGGACAACCGTAGTAAAATCAACACCGGTGACCAGATGAGTCTGCGTGGAAGCACGACCGGACTCACAGGTCAAGCCTCAGTTGACGTCATATCCGTTTCGGCGTCGCAGGTTACATGGGCCATATTTGTCCTCTGCTCGATTGTGACGGTCAGCAGGTACTTCCACTAAGTAGGGTGATTCAGTCTGGTACAAGAAGCTATCAGCAACAGATAGCTATCAACGATAGATGGCCGAGGAAGGGTGCGCTGACCCATGTCATCTTCTCCCAAGGTCATAATCAAACGACAGCAACACACACCTTCGTATGTATGCAAATCGGCGCACGAGCTGAATCGCAACAGGGCTCTGGTCAGTTCCGGTTTTTGATCCGTTCACCAAGGGGGAGACCAGCAAAGAGACGGGAATCTGCAATTATTACAATCTTTCACATGTACCGTAATGACAATGCCAGGGATCCATATCATCAAGATGGGGGAAGGAAGTCCGAATCTTCCGGGTCTATGAGGAATGCTTCGTATAGGTATATCACGCCGAACAGCAGGAAGAGGGCGCTCCCCGCAAGTGTCACTGCAGGCAGATCAGCGACGCGCGTGGCACAAGCCACAATACGGGGGGACGCACCATGTTTAACCGAGATTTTCGTGGAGACGTAGCGGCCGCCGACGACCGCCAGGGCAGTACAGCACGTATGGCCCAAAATCGTTCCGAGCATTACCACGTACACATTCTGAGGAGACCCGTCTCAGAAGGTAAACACAGCTGGAACTGGATACGCACATGTGCTGCGGCCAGCGCAATGGTGGCAATTTGGCTGCGGTCGCCCCACTCGCCTAGAAATGTGAGGACGAACGCCTGCACAAATACAGGTCCGAGAAAGAGGCTAAAGAAATTGCGGGCGGCCTCCGCATACGCCTTCGTGTGAGACTGCGCACGAGCCTGGCGAGCGCTCCCGTTGGAAAGCGCGTCAATATGACCATTGGGCCGGCCACCTTCTTCGAGTTCCTCGAGCGGAAGAGAATCGACATCAGTGTCGTCTCCCTCAATGTCGTGCTCAGCTTCCTTCATCTCCTCCTGCATCTTCTCGCTACCTCCGCGCATACAACGACCCTCATTCAACATCCTGGCGCCAAAGACAAGAAAGAGTATGGCGGCGGCGGCCTGCGTCCAACGCTTTGGAATAAGGGTGGGGAGAAGGTGACCAAGTTCTGCAGAGAGGATGGACATGACGACGAGGGAGGAGAGAGCGCCGGTGAAAACGACGAGACGCGGATGACGCATAGCTAGTATGGCGGCGATGAGGAATGTCTTGTCACCGATCTCGGAGACGATGATCATGGCGAATGCGCGTGTGAGGGCATGGAGAGCACCGTCCTGGGCGACGTCGGGCGTATCATCGGGTATGGCCATACAATAGAAGTACTGGGTGCATGGTTGGCACAGAAATGGTGAGCAACGAAGACAAGTACCTTTGGCAACGGGCGGGTATGCGGCGCAGAGGTCGGCGGACCCGGGAATGAGGGGACGTGGAAGGTGGTGGTGAGCGCGTGAGAGCCGACGGCGCGCTGTCAGTGGCGCGCGCGCCTTCAACTTGTTCGTCCGTCTGCCAACTCTGCGATATCCCCGCAAAATATTGTCGTTCCAGAGGCCTATAGAGAATATGAGCGACTATATCACTGAGCCTACGTGGCCTTGGAATATGTACGTCGAATAATGACCTCTATATCGCCCGCGCCCGGCGCCCGCCCAGCGCCTCCTTCGTTTACTTGACTTACAGGTTTCAGCGAGTTCTTGACTTCTCGGTTGTGAAGCACTCGTCCACCTCATGAGATCCACGTGAACTTGGGCGTGTCAAGTACCATCATGTTTGCTCTACTGAATTTTGTATGGCTCGCTCTCCAATTTCTCTTGGAGCCTGTTCTGCCCCCTGCCCCAAATGGACCAGCCTCTGAGGTTCACAGTGTGTACTCTCTCAATGTTTCTTCCTGTCCAGGTGCGTGCTCTTGTCGTAGCAGAGTGTCTATGGTGGATCTGAAACCTGTGTTCGAACCCAGGATATTCTTTAACGTCCCTCAGCGAGACGTTGGCAGGATTCACAGCTAATTTGGAGTTGGCAGGTCCTTCCTGTAATGCCTTCGGCCACGACATCCCCAACCTCACTCTTGAGGTTATTTACGAGTCAGACACACGGTCAGTTCAATAATTTGTTAGATGTTGAGACAGTTGTCACAACGTTGTGCGGGGTACTGCTCGATAGAGCAGACATATCTCTGTGACGACTTACTTCAGATATGAGGCTAGCTGTTCATGATCGTGCTCACATATTTTCAGACTCCACGTCAATATTCACGACGCCAACAAAACACAATTTACCATACCACCGTCAGTCATAACCCTTCCTCCCGTACCAACTGCAGCATACCACGGCACGTCAGATCTCATCTTCAATCATGAGCCTTCCCCCTTCGCCTTTTGGATCACTCGCCGTTCAGAGCCAGATGCCCCACCTATCTTTGACACGCGTTTAAGCTCGCTCCCGCCGACGCCCATTGCGCCTGTTATCACAGATGACCTGTCAACCGCGCTCGATGGTTTTCCGCTTGTATTTGAGGACCAATACCTGCAACTGACATCCGCACTTCCTCTCGGTGCTAACATCTACGGTTTGGGCGAGGTGGTTGCAAGCCGAGGATTGAGGCGTGATGTGGGAACTAATGGAGGTACTGGGACAATCCAAACAATGTGGGCGCGTGATGCCGCGGACCCCACAGACGAAAACATGTAAGTCCCGTTCTTCATGTTTGCGTTTACCTAGTCGATGTTCATGTCCATCATGGCAGATATGGTGCACATCCAATCTACGTCGAACATCGGTTCAATGAAACGACAAAACGTGCTCAATCGCACGGCGTGTTCTTGTTCAGGTGCGTGCACACACCGTATAACAGACACATAGTTGACTCGTATTCCGCGTCAGCTCCGCCGGGTCCGACATCCTCCTCCTGACTCCGCCCATGTCTCCGGTCTCTCTTATCCAGTACCGTCTCCTCGGTGGGACGCTCGACTTCTATTTTTTCTCTGGCCCAAGCAACCAGCAAGTGATTGAGCAATACGGCGCGCTTGTCGGGCTACCGACGTGGCAGCCTGCATGGGGGTTCGGCTTCCACCTGTGTCGATGGGGCTATCCGAACTTGACCGTGACGCGGGAGCAAGTGAAGAATATGCGCGAGGCTGATATCCCGCTTGAAGGTGCGTCTGTCGGGCCTAATGGTGCGTTAAGAGCTTTACAAGGCACACAGTAATGTGGAACGACATCGACCTGTACCATGCGTTGCGCGACTTCACGACTGACCCAGTCTCGTACCCCGCTGATGAGATGCGTATGTTCATCCGGGAGTTGGTGGGTTTCTTCGTGTCTGTATGCGGTATGCGTTTATTGATCCAGTCGCGTAGGCCGCAAACCACCAGCATTACATACCCATTGTCGATGCAGCTGTGCCGATCACGAACAATGCGAGCGATATTGTATGTTTGCACCTTTCCCTCCATGCTGCTGCTCACATTCCGTAGTACGACCCATACACCCGAGGTGTCGAATTGTATGTCTAGAGTCTGGGGTGCTATATAATGGCTAATATCTGATTATAGAGACATCTGGGTGAAAAACCCCGACCGTTCGGAATTCGTTGGTGAAGTCTGGCCTGGGCATACGGTATTTGTCCGCCTCAGACGCCGCTGGACGAGCACTGACAACGATATGATAGGTCTTCGCAGACTGGTTCGCGACAAACGCCCAGATGTACTGGACCGAAGCACTGCGGAACTGGTCAGAAAGTGGGATTGAGTTTTCTGGGATTTGGCTTGACATGAATGAGGTGGCTTCTTTCTGTAGCGGCTCATGGTAAACTGCGTTTTGTGCCCTATGTGTTTGGATGATGGTGCTGATGCACAACACATGTAGCGGTTCATCTGGAAACCCCTCGCTCGCTTCGTCGCATTTTACTGAACGTGGAGTGGGTGCTGGTGGGCAGAGTGGTGTTGACCTCAGCAGCCCGCCGTATGCCATACACAATGGTACGTCATCCGGCTCGGTCCGTGCATACATCTAAAGTTCTGGCTCTGGCGCCGGATCAGGTAA